GTACGTGAAATCTGAGGAGACCCAGCTTCATGGGGTCCACATTTCGTCTATGACCAGCACATGGGTTTTGCCCCAGACCAAGCTCATGCAGAGCAGCTTCCCAGCCCATATTTGCTCAGCCACAACCCCCTGACCCCAGTTATAGACATTTACCCACCCCTCACATCCTGATCTGACCAAAGGCTTCTCTGTGTAGCTGGGGGCTGATCCGGGAGCCCAGGTGAGGAGAGCCTCCTGCCCCATGCCTGACGGTGAATTATTGGCAGATTGGATCTAGCGCCCAAATGTCTAGTGCTCTTCAGCAGAGTTTGAGCAAGTGTCTTGTTTGTTTCTTGAGGGTCCAGCTCAGAGGCCACACAGAGGAGGCTCATTTAGTGCTGGCTACCAAAAGGCAGACAATACCAGGAGCCAGAGAAGACATACAAAGCTCAGAAGAGGAAGGGTCACTATGGCCCTGGGAGGTCAAGGAAAAGGCATAAGGGTAGCAAGGGCCTATTGACATGATAATAGTGGCTAATGGTTACTGAGCGCTAACTATGGACCAGGCACTGCACTGTTCATGATCACATTTAGTCCTCACAAAAACCCTGTGAGAATGTACCATTAGCAGCCCCATTTTATAGGTGGGGAGACCAAGGTATCTAACAGAGAAGTTAGATACTTTGCTCCTGGTCAACTAGTAAGGACTGGAGACAGGGTCCAAAACCAGGTTGCCTAGTTCCAAGGTCTGCCCAGTTAACTCCTGTGTATTGAGTGCCAGGCCTACACACGGGGCATTTTACTCGCAGGATCCCATTTCCATGAGATGGTGTATCTATGCCCATTTGACAGAAAAGGAAAATGGAGTCCAAGAGGTGAAGTCATTTACCCCTCAGTACTCTTTTCCCTAAAAGCCCTGATCCAGAGTGCTTGGGGATTTTAGACAGGCTTGGGGGGCCGGAGAGCAGTGCCAGTCAACTCCCCCCTGTCTCCCCTGCAGGCACTGGGCTGGTCCTTTGTGCTGCTGACCACGCTGCTGGCCTTCGTCGTGCGCTCCGTGCGACCCTGCTTCACACAGGCTGCCTTCCTCAAAAGCAAGTACTGGTCCCACTATATTGACATTGAGCGCAAGCTCTTTGATGAGACGTGCACAGAGCACGCCAAGGCCTTCGCCAAGGTCTGCATCCAGCAGTTCTTTGAGGCGGTGAACCATGACCTGGAGTTGGGTCATGCCCACGGGGCACTGGCCACGGCCCCTGCTGGCTCAGCTGCCCTGGCGACCACTGACGGGGCTGAGGAGGAGAGGGAGAAGCTGCGCGGCATCACAGATCAAGGCACCATGAATAGGCTGCTCACGAGCTGGCACAAATGCAAGCCGCCCTTGCAGCTGAGCCAGGAGGAGCCACTGATGGGCAATGGCTGGGCAGGAGGCAGGCCCCGGCCTCCACGCAAGGAGGTGGCCACCTACTTCAGCGGAGTGTGAACCGTGGCCAAGTGAAGAAGCGGGAATGGGGTATGAGCCCACAGCCTCTCAGACCCCCAAACCAGATGGAAAATGAAGCCTGCAGGTGTGGGTGGTAAGCCCCTAGAGCAGACCTATGCGCCCAGGCATTCACCTGCCCGTAGAAGCAGGAAACTTGGAGCTGGAAGGGGACAGCAATCCTCCAGCTGTGACCCAGCAGTATTAGTCAGAAGGCTTCAGAACTGGCTGGGGATGGACAAGCCCCCACCAGCCCAGCCCCTCTCCAGCCACTTCACCCCTGCCTCACTGTCTCCTCTCAGGTCCTACAGCCACTCTGGCTGTGAATTTTTACAACCTCTGTCCCTCATCCTCAAGGCTCATGGAGTGGGAGGGCATCCAGCTGCCTCACAAAGCAGGAATCCTCTGCTTTTGGTTAGGCTCCTGAATGAGGCTGAGAGTGGGTTGTAAGGACATGGCACACAGCTTCACCTGGTGTAACACACCTGCTGCGACAGGGGATGAGACAAGATGCCAGAAGTTAGGTCTACTCAGGAGAAACCAGAGTGTGTGCTCACCATGGAGGCCACCCTATAATCGTCAAGTGGATTGCACGTTTATTTAATACTGAGCACTAAGTCTTCCTGTCTTACCCATTTGAGAGGCTACAACCAAACACCAGAGACTGAATAGCTTATATGCAACAGTTTACTTCTCATAGTTCTGGAAGCTGGAAGTCCAATAACATGGCTCTGGCACGGTCACGTTCTGATGGAGGCCTTCTTCCTTGTTCAAAGTCAATGCCCTCTGGCTGTGTCCTCACAAGGTAGAAGGGGCAAGCGTCTTTTCAAGGCACTAATTCCGTTCATGAGGCTCTGTTCTCATGAATTAAGCACCTCTTAAAGGGCCCACCCCTTAATACCATCACCTTTGGGGGTTAAGATTCAGCCCCTGAATCTGACCATACCAACATCCCTTGGAGGGATCCTTGGAGACCACCTGAACACCTTCACATCCAAATCTCAGGGGGAAATCAGACCAGCCCAGAACTTGGACATTTAGAAAAGAAGCTGATATCTTCCCCATTTTCTCAAAAACCTTGGGGAGGGGGCTCCAGAGGGCTAAGAGGCTTTGCCCCTGAGGTAGGGATGAGGATGGGAGGGTGGGGGGGGGGAATCTGCCTAGAGTAGAAACAGCTCAGACTTGAGAGAGAGAGAACTGGGTCACACATTGGCTCTACCACTTACAGTGTCCCTCAGACCAATTGCTTCCTTTTCTGTGCCTCAGTTTCCTTATCTGTACCATGGGGATGAGAGTACCTACCTGATGGGGTTGTTGTAACCATGAAACAGGTGAAGCATGGAAAGCTCGTGCCACAGAGCAGGCATTGGCTAATGTGTTTGTAGATTCTTTACCCTGAATGCTTATCCTCCTTCCCTGGACATAAGGGGAAGGTGACATAAAGAACTGGAGCCACGTGTCAAGGAGGGAATTGAGGGCCAAGAAGATATAAATCCTACTCATCTAAGAACTCATTCTTGGGGATCCCTGGGTGGCTCAGCGGTTTAGCACCTGCCTTTGGCCCGGGGCGCGATCCTAGAGTCGGGCTCCCGGCATGGAGCCTGCTTCTCCCTCCTCCTGTGTCTCTGCCTCTCTCTCTATGTCTATCATAATTTATTTATGATATAAATATAATCCAGGATCGCGCCCCGGGCCAAAGGCAGGTGCTAAACCGCTGAGCCACCCAGGGATCCCTAAATAAATCTTTAAAAAGAAAAAAAGAACTCATTCTTTTTAAGATTTTATTTACTTATTCATGAGAGACACAGAGAGAGGCAGAGACATAGGCAGAGGGAGAAGTAGGCTCCCTGTGGAGAGCCTGATGTAGGACTCGATCCCAGGACCCCAGGATCACAACCTGAGCTGAAGGCAGATGCTCAACCACTGAGCTACCTAGGCGTACCCTAAGAACTCATTCTGATCTTGATCCCTGCAACACTGCTTTACTGATTTCCCTTCTTTGCATCTATTCTTCCCTCCCTTACCACTTCTGGGATCCAGTTTCGCTTATTTGGAAGGAGGATGAGCCCTGTAGGCCTGCGGGGCTGGAGGAGCCCTCTAGGCTCCTCTGGGGGGTGCAACTTCATCTAGGTCCTGAATGTGGAGAGGGCTCAGAGGAGTAGAGACCAGGTCTGTGTTGATAGGTGGGGAGGAGCTTCCAGGGGGAAAAGCCAGCCCAGAATATTGAGAGGTACAAATGTCAAGAAAAGAGCAAAGGTTTGGGTAAGGCAGATTGGGGTTCATAAACAAGAGCTGTAAGACCTCACCAAACCCCTCCAAACCTCAGTGTGTCTGTCTGTAAAATAGATCTTAAGGAGAATAAAGGAGGGTAACTTTTGAGGAAGAATCTGGAAGTGTTTGGCACATAGTAGAATCTGAATAATGAACACTGGTCCTTTCCCTTCATTCCTACCCATGGACAATCACAGCTCCCAGAGGCCAGCATGGCACTCAGCAGTCCACTGTCTAGAACCACAAGTATTGAAGAGCTGACAGGAGGCTGGGGCAGGTGGGTGTCTCTCCCTTAATCATAGGGGTCATCTAGCCCATCCTCAGGAAGGGCTCTCCCCCTTAGCATTCTTGATCCATGACTTTCCAGCCTCAGCTTGCACACTCCCATGAATGGGGAGCTCATGACCACTTTCCAGGACAGACTGGGCAGCTCTGATGATAACAGAAGGGTTCTTTCAGCAAGCTGCCTTCTTGTAATTTCCACCCACCACCCAGAGCTCTGTCCACTGGGCCTCAGAGAATCACTTGCCAGCCCTCCTGAGATTTGAAGCAGTACCTGAGGTTAGCTGAAGTATGGACAGAAGAGCCAGTGGTGGGGAGGACTGGAGGGGGCAGGATGGCTCTCAGGGAGAAGAACCAGAATAAGTGGGGAGGCCCTGGCCTGTGTATCCTGATGGCATGACCCTGCCCTCTAACCCTGCCGGGGTCTCTGTGGCAGCTTCTGTCTAGTGGGAGTCAGGCATGAGGAGTGCTCCTGAAACAGGCAGGGAGGGCAGGCCCAGGCAGGATGTCCGGGAAGGTCCCCCGCCTGGCCCCTGAACTGGTCCCACTGGTGTGCAGCACTGTCGGGGCGCCTACCCGCCCGCAGCCTGCCAGGGCAGCTGGCTCAGGACGGCAGGCAAGGAGGCAAGGCCAGGCGCGCACAGGCTGCGCGGCTGAACTTCCTCTCCTCTTGCACCGCCCTCCCCGCCCGCCCTCCTCTGCCTGGCGCCAGAGGGAGGCTGTTTTTCCACTGGTTGCTGCACAGAGTTCCATCCTGCTGTTTCATCCTCTTTCCTGGAGTTTAAAACTTCTTTGAAAACACCACCAGCCCCAGGCCCTGCTCATCTCAAGCTCCCTGCTCTGGTGCAGAAGAAAGCACAAGGGAGCCAGCGGAGGGCACGGCTGGCCCGCAGCACTTCAGGGGGGCCTGCCTTGTAGGCCCACGCCCCGCGGAGGCTGGAGCCACTGGGTGGCGCTGCAGCTGGCATCAAGTAAGGAAGGGCCCCTCCCTGAGGCTTGCCAGGCGAGGGGAGTGTGGCAGGACTGCTCAAGGCTGCCCAGAGGGATTGTCCTGGAGAGAAAGTCCCCTCACTGAGGCTCCTCACTCTAGGCAAGGCCAGTGGTGCCCCCCTCTCCCAGCCTGTCTTCTTGCCCTGACTGCTGTGCTTAGAGATCCCACCCAGGCCCAGATGTGACCCCCCTCCCTGACCTGAGGGACAGGGCCAGTAGTCTCAGATGATGGCCTGGCCCCGCCTCTGCTCACCACCCGCTGTGTTCAGATATCTTGTACCACGTTTTGGGCAGCTTATGAACCCAGGGCCTCATGAAAGTCATGAGGAGCCTTGAAGCCAAAAGGGGAAGAGGCAGAGGCAGAGGGAGAGGAGCCTGCTTTAACCCATTCATCTCTGGCAACATTACAAACTCTTTCCCAGGGAGAGGGATGGAGCCCCTGGGCTGTGAGTGGGAGGAAGAGTCAGCTCCCTCCTCCTCCTGGCTCCCCACGTGGTCACCGAGCTCTGCCCGCCCCATCTGGCAGCATTGGCAGAGACCGGGTGTGGTGTTAGTGTAGAGAAGAGGCACAGAAGGAAATATGGCAGGGGTCCCCACCTGTTTGCTGTCCATCCTTTCCCTCCATTCCCTGGCTTCTGGCTGTGGACTTTTGTTTTTCAGCCCCCAGAGCAGGAGGACACGGGCCACACCCTGGCTATACCCATCTCTCTGCTTGTGTGGGTGGGGTCTAGAAAGATCCCCAGGCGTGGCCACTTCCTGGCAGGCTGTCCACATCCCAGACCATGGCCGAGCAGGCTGGGGATGAGCTGGTGGGGATGGTAGAGCTTTAGTTTCCATCCCTGTCACTGGCAGGCTGGGAAGCCCCCTGGGAGGCTGCTGGGTAGGGAAAGGGTGATTGGGTGGGGAAGAGAAAGTTCGCCAGGGCTCTCATGGATGAGGACAGAGCACAGTCAGGAGACCAAGAAAACAGAGGACCCACCCTTATCTGCTTCCCAAGCCTCCTTATAGGGCAGGCTCAAAAGTCCTGCCCAGATACCTCTATACTGTGATGGCCTCGAGAGAGGCACTTCCACTTCTTTAGGCCTTAGTTTCCTGATCTTGGCAGGAAGGAGAGTCGTCTCCACTGCCTCACCTTTGGGAGCCACCTTAAAGCCTTGACAGGGTGAGATGGAGGGTCTCACACATAGGACAATTGTCAGGCATCATTTATTCCCTACAGCATCCCTATGGGGAGACCAAGGGCTGGAATGATTTGTCCTCCTTTCACAGAGCAGGACACTGAGAAATAGAGAAAAGCCATGATGTATGTTGAGAGCCAAGATCTCCTAAACCAGTCTGGACTCTGAGGTCTCCCAAATGAAAAGTTCTCATGAACTCCAGGGACACTGTGCCTTGCTCGGCACTGACCAGGGGCCTTTCTCCACCCCACCCCACAGAGCTGAATCAAACCCAAGTCCCTTACCTCCCAGGAAACCCATTCCAGCTGTGATGCCCATCACACCTTCCAAATAGTCCTAGGTCCCTCAGCGCATTAGTACCACCTGGAGCCCCACATCCTCCAGTGCCACAAGGCCATTCTTCATCCCTAATTCAAGGGAAGCTTGTGGGAGTAACAAGAACCCAAGTGCCCAAGGCAGACACACATGTGACCCTGGCAAGCCCCTCAGCCTCAGAAAGCCTCTGCTTTCTCTATGCACAACAGGGATACGACAGCTCAATGTGGGATCATGACAACAGGCAATGAGGGATGGAAAGCATCTGACACCCAGTGGGAACTCAGTGAGCAGTGGCTACCACATCCCCTAGGCCCCAGGGCTCCCCAGATCTCCCCCTTTCTCACCAGCATGACCATACCAGATGCTCTCAATTTCTTTCAGTTTTCAGAGGCAAACGTTTATCAGTCATCTACCACTCCACAGGAAGCACCAAACAGGCCACCAGAGGGGATAAAATGGCAAGACTGTGCCCTGCCTTCAGATGCCCACCCACCTGCACTCCTTCCTAGTCCCATTGGGAACCACCCATCCCTGTCTCCTCCTGCCCCCACCCTCGCAGCTGGTCCCTGAGCTGACTTGTCACCATGGCAGCCCTGATTGCAGAGAATTTCCGCTTCCTGTCGCTCTTCTTCAAGAGCAAGGATGTGATGATTTTCAATGGGCTGGTGGCACTGGGCACGGTGGGCAGCCAGGAGCTCTTCTCTGTGGTGGCTTTCCATTGCCCTTGCTCACCTGCCCGCAACTACCTGTACGGGCTGACGGCCATCGGCGTGCCTGCCCTGGCCCTCTTCCTCATTGGGGTCATCCTCAACAACCACACATGGAACCTGGTCGCTGAGTGCCAGTACCGGAGGGCCAAGAACTGCTCAGCTGCCCCCAACTTCCTCCTCCTAAGCTCCATCCTGGGCCGTGCAGCGGTGGCCCCTGTCACCTGGTCCGTCATTTCCCTGCTGCGAGGTGAGGCCTATGTCTGCGCTCTCAGCGAGTTTGTGGATCCCTCCTCACTCACAGCTGGGGAGAAGGGCTTCCCACCAGCCCATGCCACGGAAATCTTGGCCAGGTTCCCCTGCGGGGAGGGCCCTGCCAACCTGTCAGGCTTCCGGGAGGAGGTCACCCGCAGGCTCAAGTATGAGTCCCAGGTAAGGCTGTGCAGAGGGAAGCTCCTCTTCTCTCTTCCCTAGGTGATGGCTGCTGGGGAGGTACCGGGATGGTCCAGTGTTGAAGCTAGAGCTGGTCTGAGGTATCTGAGCCAGGTAACCTGTGGGTTAGGACTTGGTGAGGCAAGTTTTAAACATTAAAAGAATGTTCTTCTGGCTCAGCCTTGATCCCAATCATAGATTAAGCCCCTTTTTCTCCAAGATTGAGCATGAACCCCCATGAGCTTATGAAACATCTGCTGTCAGCTAGGAGTTGACACTTTCCCGTCCCCAGAAGGACCCCAGCCCAGCACCGAGTCAGCCCCAGGTTTTGCTGACATCAGGGAGCTCCAAGCCAGAAGGGATGTTTAGTTCGGAAGCAGCCGCTGCTGCCCCAATCCTAGCCACAGCTGTGGCTCACTTCTGAAGGAGCAGAGGTCAGTCAGGGGGAGAGAGGGCAAGGGCAGAGGCCTGGGCAGAAAACACAGCTGCAAGTGTTCACTAGAGCAGCAGAGCATGAGGGAAATAGGAAGGAGCAAAAGACTTTCTAAAAAACTAAAACAGGACAGCCCAGATGGCTCAGCGGTTTAGTGCAGCCTTCCATCCAGGGTGTGATCCTAGAGGCCTGGGATCGAGTCCCACATCGGGCTCCCTGCGTGGAGCCTGTTTCTTAAACATTTAATCCCCATAAGACCAAGCTCTCTCTCTGTGTCTCTCATGAATGAATAAAATCTTTTAAGAAATAAATAAACAAAACAGGGAATGCGATTTCAAGGCAATGAGGATAAAGTGGAATCACAGCCTGAAGGGCCAGCTTCCCTTACAGAAGTAGGATCTGCTCTCGGGAGTGGCGTGTGGGCCAGGTTCAGCCCAGCCCAAGCCCTGTGACCAGCCTTCTTCCTGGGGTGGGTGAGGGTCCAGGCAGCTCCCTGCCCCCCTCCTCAACCCTGCACCTTCTCTGGCCAGCTCTTCGGGTGGCTACTCATCGGCGTGGTGGCCATCCTGGTGTTCCTGACCAAGTGCCTCAAGCATTACTGCTCACCACTCAGCTACCGCCAGGAGGCCTACTGGGCGCAGTACCGCACCAATGAGGACCAGCTCTTCCAGCGCACCGCCGAGGTACACTCACGGGTGCTGGCTGCCAACAACGTGCGCCGCTTCTTTGGCTTCGTGGCACTCAACAAGGATGACGAGGAACTTGTTGCCAGGTTCCCAGTGGAAGGCACACAGCCTCGGCCACAGTGGAACGCCATCACTGGCGTCTACTTGTACCGTGAGAACCAGGGCCTCCCACTGTACAGCCGCCTGCACAAGTGGGCCCAAGGTCTGGCAGGCAATGGGACAGCACCAGAAACCATGGAGATGGCCCCCCTCACCTCCTGAGGGTCCTTCATCACACTCTTTGCAAGTGACAGTACTTGGGTTTCAAACTGAACTCCACTGCGTGCTCACAGCGGCATCAGATGGGGATGATTTTTTAAACTTTTTGGGGAAACAGGCCAGGAGCAAGGAGCACAAAGTAACCTGGGGTGTGGAGAGAGCTAGTAGACAATGGGGTCCGCTCCCACAGGAAGGTTCTCAGACCTGAAGAAACCCCCTCTCCCGCTGCCACCAACCACTGGGGTCAACAGCTTTGGAAAAAAGACCCCTTTGCAAAATTCGTCCTTAATTAACTAGGACATGGATGACCTTTTACTGGTAGGACTCCAAGGCTGGGAAGCCCTGACCAGCAGAGCCAGGTAACCGTGAAACTCACCAGCAGACTCCTCGTACAGGATATCATGCTATTAATGATGGATGTGTGACTGATTGCATATGGTTACCTGGCTCAACAGCGCTCAGCCAGAAGATGCCCTCCAGTGTATGCTCTGGCATTATTTTATATACTTAAATTTTTTATAAAGTTTTTCTTAGTATAAAGGACTAGCCTGGTGTCTGCATGATTGGACAAGCCATGCCATAGCAGGCAAGGGGTCATGGAGACAGGCCCAAATCCCATCCTCTGCAGGAGGGAGGGGGGACCGAGAGACCCTGGGCAAGATTAAGATGGATGGGAGGGCAGGGGTGCAGGGAAAGCCAGGTGTCCCACATGTCGGATGACCCTATGGCTGATGATGTCTTGACAATTCAATTCCGTTATCTGATTTGATCTGGGGAACAGGTGAAGCCTGTCTTTTCTCAGAGATCGCTTTAAATTTCACAAGTCAGAAGATCCTGCACTCAGTAGGGCAGATTATCTCCCCCAGATAACGTAGTGCTAATGACCAAAACCCACCCTCACCCGCCTGCTCTTCCCCGATCACCTCCGCCACCTCTAAAACCCTCGATGCTCTCCCTGTCCTGCTTCCCAGCATTCCACCCAGTCACTTCCCAAGGAAAAGCTCCCCAGCTCTCACAGCATTTAAAGCCCTGCCAAAGAAAACATTTAATCCCCATAAGACCAAGCCAAAAAAGAACTAGCTTCAATAACTAGCCTGGTCTCTGCTGGTGTCCAAAAATTCTGAAACATTTGGGATTATTATGTATCAAAGGAGGTGGAAACCATCTTTCTGGGAAGTTTACAAGGGTCACAGGGAGGATTAGGTGTGGACCCATCATGTCCCTTTTCCCTCAGGTCTCAAGGAAAACCATCAAACCAGTCAATGCCCTACACCCAGCAACATCTCCCCAGAGGAGCTACGAGGAAACACAGAGAAACCAGGCAGCTCTCCCCAACTGAGCAGTCCACGTCCTCACTGAGCCTCCTACACACCAGGCCCTGTGGCAGCACACAGACATACACATTCTCGCTTAATCCACAAAACAACTCTGAGGTAGTTTTTGACCCCATTTCACAAATGAGGTGCCCCATTTGGAAAGCTTGGATAATCTGGGCCTGGGAGGAAACCTCACCGGGTGGTCTAAGCCAATACCTGTGGCTTTCCTGTCAGATGCCTTGGTTCCCCAACTGTCCTTTCCCCAGAGGGCTCTGCCCTTGCCCTCTTCCCAGCCTCACATACTCCACAAGAGCACCAGCACTAGCTGAGCTCAGGCTGAGGGAACCCAGAGATTCCGAGACTAGGGGAGGAGGCCCACTCCTTGGGCCCTACTGACCCCCTCTGGCTGGACCGAGAGCTTGCCAGGGCCAAAGTGGGATCCTGACCACAAGAGCATCAGGAGTCAGCCCCTCCATTTCTGCTCCCCAGGAAACTCCTGAGAGGGAGAGAGCCTTAGCTTTTCTAGGAGTCCAAGAGCCTGCTGTCTACAACCCCTAAGCGGCCTCAGAAACAGAAAAGGGGGCGCACCTGGGTGGCTCAGTCAGTTAAGCATTTGACTCTTGATTTCGGCTCAAGTCATGACCTCAGAGTCGGGAGATCGAGCCCTGAGTTGGGCTCTGTGCCTATTGGTGAGTCTGGTTGAGATTCTCTCTCTCTCTCTCCCTCTGCCCCACCCCCACCCCTAATGCAAGTGCAGTCTCAAAACAAAAAAAAGACGGAAAAAAGTGAAATACAGTACTAAAAACAAGCAGAAAGGAATTCTAAGAAAGCTCAAATTCTTTTTCATCTTGACAGGATTACCCTAAAGGTGTTGCAGAAAAAGCAACACTTAAATAAGAGTCCTCAGGCAACAGTTTTCCAGCTGCCCAGGTGCCTGATATTTGGCCGGGCCAGTCCACTGCTAACAGTGATCATCTGAGGCCAGCTGGCCCCTAGTCCTCCAACACAGAGCTCTTAGCTTCCACGTATTCCAGGGCCTTCGCCTTTACTGCCTGCACGTCCTTCTCAGTGCCATGTTGTTTCTCGTAGTCCAGGTAGCGCTTGAAGAAGAATTTCATTCGCTTGGGGGCCAGGCTGAGATGAATAACCCGTTCAAAGATGTCCCTGTGAAGAAGAGCAAGGCAGCATTTGCCTCTTAGCCCCTGGCCACTCGAATGCCACCAGCCTCCATCCACATGCTCTCTGGCTCTACAGCCAGACCAGACCCTCTTTTCTCCAGCACTCTCACTTCTATCTTTACCATTTTCAACTCCTAAGGTATCCATGGGGAGAAAGATTGCTCCCACTTTCCAGATCAGACAGGCACTCACTTACTGGCCTGAAGTTACACAGTTAGTCAGGACAAAGCTACTAGGATGGAGACACACAGAAGGTATGGATCTGTGAGAAACACTCTGCTTCAAACTGACTGATGGGCTTGGGGGAGGCACTACTTCTTTCTGGACCTCAGTCCACCCATCTCTAATCCTCACTGCCCCATGGGGATATAGGTGACAACAGCAAGCCCGTCACCATTCTCTACCACAAGAGCAAGGCTCAGTGAATTCTGTGGGAAACCCAAGTTTCCTGACCCCCACCAGGGCCAGCCTACCACCCACCCAAGACCGAGACACAGACTATAAGCTCGCCCCTGAGGCAGCAAAAGTCTCAAAAAGAGAGTATCACAGGACCTCATGTGTCATGTCAGAGCTATTCCTCTAGAAAGAGTAAAAGAACTGGGGATGCTGGAAGATGCTGTGGGGCTAAACTCATCCACTTGGCCAACATCCCCAAACTCCCACAGGTAATTCAGCTCTATTCTGTCTTCCCCTCTCACCGGACTTCTTTCTGGCTGCCATGCTTAATGGTCATGTCAATGTAAACCGACCAGACATCAGTACGCTTTGGGTAGGTGCTCAGTGTATTCTCAAAAATGGCTTTGGCCCGTTCCGCATCTCCCAGCTGGAACTCCAGCTGGGCAAACTTGGCAATCACATCCACATCTGCAGGGAGAGAATAGTTCAGACACACAAAGCAGACAGACCCCTCACCACAGCATAATGTGCTGCACAGAGATCAGACTCCTGACTGCCTACTCACAGGTTCGAAGGCGTAGGTGATGACAAGGGGAACACTGGGAAGGTTTAGAGCCAAATACACACAGATGGGCACGGATCTATGATTCCCACTGTGGACACCTCACTTTCTGGACCCAAAAAGGAGAGGGGGCAGGGGCAATAAAATTAGTGCTAATTGTTTTTTGTTCCTCCATCTTTGAAGTTTAGCATCTGAAATGCAACATTTAAGTTCATGAGCATATAATCAACAGAGAAAACATTATATGCCCTCCACTAGGCTCTCCTAACACCATACCACCCATGGATAAGAAAGCCCCCAGTCCCTATGCCCAGATATCGGAGAACTTAATGTGATCAGGAATCAGGCCAGAGGGTGGGGAGGAGCACTCACGCTCTTTATTGGGCAGACACTCAAGGGCTCGCTGCATCACACGGTGACTGGCTCCAGCCTGGCCCCTCCGCAGAAGAAAGGCACCATATTTGATCCAGACAGCTTTCTCCTGCCTGAATCGCTTCAGCATCCGGTTGTAGAGTTCACCAGCTTCCTGCGGGAAAGACAAGGTGAACTGTGGAGTGTGATAAGACAGATGAGGGCAACAACAGAGATGGGCAGCTATGCTCATGAGAAGCTAGCTGTGGCTTCAGGCTCACACAGATGAGGAGAGCATCTGAGGGGGCCTAACACGGTGGGGAGTCTCACTATTAATCCTGTGCTATATGGAGGTCCTCAGGGTAGAACATGAGGATAGGGGAACAGGAGAAACAGAAAAAGGGCATTTGGCTGAGCTGCTGCCTTCTGGCTATATGCCCAAAGGATACACACCAGGGGTCCACTGCCCCTTTACTTCCCTCATCTTCACCCTGCACTCCTAAAGCAGAAGTAGGAGGAAAGGACTCCTCCTACTTACAAGATGAACAAGTTAGAGCCCAGATGTCACAAAGCAAGACTATAGCAGGATCAGATCCAGAAGAGAGGGCATTCTTTCCTGAGACTTCCTTGTTGCCTTTCTAACTCCCAGGAATTAGTTTCTGAGCCACTGAAGACTCTCTGCCAGTGGGCCGTCTGGCTCAGACACCTACCTGGAATTTCTCTGACTTGTTGTAGATGTCAGCCAGGTGGAGAAAGATCTTGAGAGGCTCATTGTACTGCACAGCGCGCTCGAAGACCTTGGTCAGCGACTCCTGAGAGCCATACATGTTCTCTAGATTCAGCAGTGCCACCCACACGTTCAGTTTCTCTTGCTCCTCTCTAGAGACAGAGTCAACAAGTGAGCTCCATCACCTCAGCCCAAGGAAGCCCCCACTACCATCCACCAGGAATGCTGACTGGAACTACTACTTCCTTCCCAGGCTCTATCCAAATCCTCAGGTCCCACCCTCAAGTGAGAAACAGAGGTCTGGTCCCCACTGCAGCTCACACAGAAGCAAGAAAGCCAGCTCCTGACTGCTGGGGATCCCCTGGTATCTGCCTCCATTCCTAAAAATGAAGCCCACAAAATCTTAAACTAGCACAAGGTTTGGGCATAAAGGAGCAGAATCTCTGGTCTGATTCTGTCTCCAAACTAAGGGAATGAAGCAAAGGACTGTCATCCTTCCTCTTAGCTGTCAGGAAACTCATTCCACCCTGTGCCTACAAAGTGGCCACGGAGAGTGTTTACACCCAGGTATGTGGAGTTATTTCCCCTGTTCTACTTGTTCCAAGTTGGGTACCTTATTAAGCACAGGGACTCCTGTAAATGTTACCCTGAGCTACTTCAGTGAAGGGGACTATAAAATATAAATGAGCAGATCTGTTTCACAGATGGCACAACTATGAGCCAAAGCCTGAAAACCTATGGGTGCTGGTGGGAGCCACCCACACTGCTGTCAGCCTCCCCAGGAGGAAAGGACCCACAGTTGATGAGCCCAGCAGCCCAAGGAGAACACAGCCCTCCCTGTTGAGAGCCACTCGCCACCAAAGCAGGAGACAAAGCCAAAACCTGAAGGAAATGGTCTTGAGAGCCCTCTCGGCCACAGCCCGGGCCTTCTCGATTTCTGTGGCCTGCAGGTGGAAGGCCATGTACTGCAGCCACAGAATAGAGCTGTTAGGGGAACTCAGCAAGAGTCGGTC